CATGAGAGCATGTATACTAATGAGAGACTGAGGTGGTCATGTGTAATAAATGTAAGGTTACCTGCAGCGGATGATCCGGTCAGAAAGATCCTCGGAGCAGAGCTCCAGCTCAGAGGTCATGGGGGTGAGTACGATCCAAATATCATGATATCTGTATATCGAGGACAGGCCGAGATGGCTGTGTGGGTGTAACCATCTATAGTTCCTTGCAGTGTAAAAGAAGGCCCGGGACCTGTGCGGTTTTGTCCCTTGCTAGACGCCCTCAATGAGGTGCCGTTGCTGGGCTCAAACGATTATCTGTGATCATTTCATTTACAATAAATGCTTTGGGTGAGAGTGATCTAACGTTTAGGAGTCCAAACTTTAAACATTGTTTTTGTTCATTTATTTTAAATTTTTCTGGTTTAATCACGATCAGATTTTTTCTAGATCCTGCATTAAATTTATATTTTGACCTCACTATTTGGGGAACAGACACAGTCTTTATAGATTGGACAGCACAAATACTTCTATCATTTAAGCGGGTAGAACAAAAGTCATCAGGGCAGTTATTTGAGATTTGACTTACTAGTCATATGGAGTGCAGCATCCTGGAGATGTTGTCCGACATGACTTCCGCTCCGACTCTGCTGGGGTGCAAGCCATCGGCGCAAAAAAGCCTTGGACGCTCCCAGAAAAGATTCCAATTATTAACAAACCTCCATTGTTCCCGTGGTCTGGCGAACCTTCCTCCGTTCCTGTGGTAGATGACTGGATACGTCGTTGCGAGAGGATGTGGGATAGCGCTCATGTTCATCTTCAAAGAGCTGTACGAGTAACACCAAGCCAGCTTAGGGAGCCCTCGCCTGAGTATTGACTGTTAGCACTCCCTCTGTTTTCTCTGCAACCACTTCCTGTTTAGTGGCCATATTAACCTGGCCACCACATGACTACTTTGCGAAGTATTGACAGTTTATCCTGCCTTACCAAGCGTTTGTATCTCTGCCTTCTTACCACGTGTATGACCTGTTTATCTGTTTGTTTTGACTTCTCTTTTGGATTACCCCTTTTGCCTGGTTGGACTGCCTTACTGTGTTTTTGACCTCATTGCCTGTTTTTACTGACCCTGAGTTTGGTTTTGTTGGACTGCTTCAATAAACATCTGCTTATGGATTCTTCCTCGGCTTCCGACTCACCCTCATTACAACTGCATCCTTGTTTCTTTAAAAAACTAAAAAATAATAATAAATGTTACTGCAATATTTTGGTTTCAGTAGTGTAAAACATTAAAAAAATATATTTAAATGGTTTATGATTCACTTTTTGTTTTGATGATCAAAGTTATAAAAATTTAATAATTGTATTTTTTTTAATGGATTTTCATGTTTCAAGATTAAAAATTTTGGTCTGCAACAAGAGTAAGAAAATAAAATCTACATAAAAGAAGAATAGAGATGTATTTCAATATATAAACCAACCTCTAGAACAAGTGCCAGATTTGAAGAACCACCCACATACAAACCAATGGACTTACTTTATTTTTTAGTGCTGCGCCCCTCGGCCTTCAATAGACATGACATCCATCACAGAAATACCTAATAATATTTCAAAATTAGAATACAGTGAAGCTCATCTTGTTCAAAATGAATAGTCTTTTTCTCAAAAATATCATAAAATGCATAATTTTCCCCTGAATTATTGAAGATTCAGATTCACATTCACAAAATTCACATTTAAGGTGAAAGCTTCTTTGCAGGAAGATTTTTCAGAACTGATATAAATACCTCCAGCACTGCATTGAAGGGTTTTAGAATTCCATTAGTGCTTTGCACCCTTTAGCCAAGAGAATAAGTTTCTGCCTGACTCTCCAATGCTAGAAAATTGCCATCACATGTGCAAAGTATAATATGGCTGAATTACACGGCACTGAAGAAGAGCATGATCAAAGGAAATCAAAGGTCACCAAAAATAATAACAGATGAAAACAAAAGATTATTTTCTAAAATGCCACATTTAAATAAGTGTATGGTTTTCGTTACATGTTTTGGTGTTTGTGCATTAAAACGTTAGAAATAGCTCTGGTATTTACTCTTTGAAGCTCATCCTATTGTTTTATTTTCTCTTTGAATAACTTCTTCCTTTCATACATATTTCTTAGTCATTTTTTTACTTAATAAATCACCATAGAAATTCATCTTGTAGTCTTACTGGCCTTGAGACAGGTATGCCACACCAATTTATATTCCCTTATAAGTATTTCAAGTCCAGTGATCCAGTTCTGTTTCAGCTTAATAAACAAGCCTGAATAATTACATTGTCCCTTCAGTTGGCTGACGAAATAAAACGTTGACCTGGAATGCTGTCGTAAATGAAAACAATGAACATTTATAAAACGAAAATTAATTGTGCCTTGGTATTTGCCTTTTTCACCTGAAAAGGACACAACAAATTTTCACTCAGGCTTCATTATAATTTGCAGCTGAGTGCGAGTACGTCATGACAGAATCATCATTCTTTGGACAGGCTGACTCTCTTGATGCTAAGTGCATCAAAATCACTGATTGGACAGATTGTTATTGCAGGTAATCTCAATCAGCTCTGCTGTGTTGAATGCTAATGACAGGGTAACATGAAGAGAGAGAAATTGCTGGGCAGATTACATGGTGAGGTGGCCCCCAGTTTGAATGAATCTTTCAGTATTAAAGCTTTAAAGGGATAGTTCACTCAAAAATGAAAATTGGCAACAAGTGACTGTCTTTGAATCATTATCTATGTTTCCATCACCCTGTTTTTATGTGCATTTTCAAGTATCGCAACAGAAACGAGTGACGGAAAAGCCAAATAAAAAAAAAATCCCTTAAATTGCAAACAAGTTGTTAACGCTCACTTAAGGTGGTTTTTGACTTGTGTGATAAATGGTTAATGTGAATAATGGGAGATGGAAATGCATTTGTTGAATAAATTCCTCCATGCGCATCAAAAAGTCATGTGACAGCGATGGGACAGCATAACCTGACTAACCAGCAGACCGATCTTGTCGCACAGCATCTGAAATGTAAATGACCAAGTAAAGTCTGCCATCAAAGTATTTCTGTATAATTGCCTCCCAGGACTGTCTTACACGAATCAGAATCAAAAAGAGCTTTATTGCCAAGCGTGTTTACACACAAGGAATTTGTCTTGGTGTCAGGAGCTTCCAGAACAGAAAGTACAGATATAGTGCAGACATATAATTTAACTTAATAAAGTGAAATAAAACACTAATAATAAAGAGAATAGACAATAAATAAAAAATATATTATGGTAATAAAATACAGAGAAAAAGAAAATATCTATAGACAGCAGTACCGTCACTCCCTTAAAAATAAAGGTGCTTCAAAAGATTCTTCAAGTGATGCCATAGGAGAACCATTTTTGGTTCCACAAAGAACCATTCAGTCAAAGGTTCTTTAAAGAACCATCTCTTTCTTATCTGAAGAACCTTATTTTGCCACAAAGAACCTTTTGTCAAACAGAAATGTTCTTCAGATGTTAAAGGTTCTTTATGGAACCATTTAGACAAAAAGGTTCTTCTATGGCATCGTGAAGCACCTTTATTTTTAAGAGTGTATACGCAGAGTACTATAGACAGCAGTACCGTCACTCCCTATACGCAGAGTACGCAGTTTGCGTAGGGCACCATCCCCCAGGGGGGCACCAACCCAGTTGCTCAAAAACAAAACACATACACACACACACACACACACACACACACACATATTCCCGCATCCGCGAGCGCTCGCACCTCATGTTTGCGGCTGAATGCAAATGATCATAATTGGTGGACAACTACCCGTGAAAAAGACATAAGCAATCCGGCGCCGAGAAAAGAAAAAGAAAAGAAAAATGAAGCCCCAACAACGCATCTAATATTCTTTCTTAGATTCCATGTTCCCTTACGAAAATTAGCCATGGTTTTACTACGAATAAACCAAAAAACAAAAATCATGGTTCTTGTTAACCACAAATTAAACATGGTTTTGTTACTTCAAAGTTTACAAAGAAGTATTCTGATTTTTTTTTGTGGTTTGTTTATAAAAACAGACCTAAGCCAACAACAGCCTTTAAAATTACTTAAAATGTATTATATTAAAACAATGAGGCAATAATGATACGTCAATGTTAAAATAATGAAACAATGTTAAAAAACATAATGTAATACAAAATAAACAATTTATGTACATTACAAATGCCTGCAAAGGGAGACAAAGGCCTGGAAATAGCTTCTGTTACACTTACAGGGCGATCAAATCCTTGTTTAATATTGACCAAACATTTAGGCTAATTCAAATATTATCATAATCTTTAATTTTTGGCCACCTTTTTGCAATAGAAATACTACAGCCTCTATAATTACTTCAACAATGTGGACATCACAACCCTTACAAAAATGAAGCTTTTTTTATTGTAGTAAAACGGCTTAATTTTCTTTTGCGTGATTTCTGAATGCTTGAGACTATAAAATCAATCAGACAACTGTATTACAGTTTTTCTCGATTGCTAACACACAATTCATGATACAATTCACCATTTTCTCACAACTATAAACACAATCTCAAAACTATACACCAACTTGCACAAACCTCAAACTTCCAGGTCAAAACCAAATATTCTAGTCAAAAACATATTCTCTTCAGTAAAAATCAAACCTTGGCCTCAGATGATGCACAAACCTAACAAACAAACAGAATAATTGTGCCAAGAAAACACCAGTGAGATTAATTTAAAACACTGTTACAAAAACCTTCTTTTGGGAAATAGGAATAATTTTGCTAGTCAATGACTGTTACAGTATACAACATAAATAGAGGGGTGCAGATACAGTAAAATTCAGCAATAAACTAAGAAAAGTTTACTTTCCCTACACTACTGTAAAGAGATTGTAGCGTCTGGAACACTCCAACACACAATATATATTTTGTTAGCTAGATTTCACAAATACTTTGTAACACCCCAGGACGCCGAACAAGACCCTGGTTTCATGGTAACCCGATACATTTACAACCTTGTGGAATGCGAGCCGGCTCTCATTCTGCTTTCTCCAGAAACAAAGGGACACAAATGCACAGGAGAAATGGACTTTTCTACTAATTAATTCATAGGAAAACCTTCTTTGAATGAACACCCATTTTCTTCAGGCCAGTGTGTATATTATTGCTGTGTTGTATTTAATCTGTTGTATTATAGACTATTTTTATCCGTGCTTACGATAAACCACACATTCATATAAGTAACTATTTCATGTCTAGTATCTATGAATTCGCCTTCTTATGATCGAAACAAGTGTGTATATTATATGCTGATACCTATGCAACATATTGATGTTCTAAGAATCGGTACTAATTTGTGCCTCAACACTCCAGCGAATTACATATGCAAAATACCATGCTTACAGACAAAGACTCATAAAAATCCTCAGTATTTCCAACCTCCCGCTTGGGATTTCAGCCTTCCTCATTGGACGAACCCATCTTGAGAGGCGTGAATCTCTGCAGGCTTTAAAAGGCCACACTCCATGTGACCCGCCCATGTCGGTGGTTCAGGGAGATGCTAAGATGAAGATGTGAGAAACGCTCCAGGATACCAAAGCTCGTGCCAGGCTCCGGCCTAGTCCTTTTCATTCATCAAGTGATTCTGACTCAAACTAGCTCTTTCTCATCAACCAACTTCAGCAAGATCTTGGGGCCTTAAGATTGCATCAGGAATCTTTTTCAGACATACGCAAGTATCAAACTTAGTCGATTTAATTGATGCATTAAGTATCAGTTACACCTTTTT